AAAATCTTAAAAAAAAAAAAAAAAAAAAAAAGCATGTGATTCTTAAGAGCCATTCTTCAATAAGATTAAACCATGCTGGAAACTGGCTCTCAGCAAACAAGAACAACAAAGTTTTAAAATGGAAATTAGATTAATAGAAAATAAATGTACCCTACTAATTTCATTCCCTTTCAAAACTCCACTGCTCGTCAGTGAAGGGATATAAAAATAAATTTTAAAATGTGAGAAGAGAAATGACAACAGTAAAATTTTGGAAGCTGCAGACCAGATGAATGAGTGTGACTCAACACACCAGAAGCCCAATTTATACTACATAATTCTCAAAGGGCACTGGAACAGGGCCAATGGAATTGGAAATGAAGAATGAAGTAAATCAAAGAGATTAAGTAAAAGCTATTTGAAAAACACCTCCAGAGGAACTGTACCTCTCACTCCAGAGAAGCATGGAGATATATTTCTGACCAAATAATACTATTCTCTGCACTGGGGTGTCCTCAGGTATACTAAGTACATGAGAACCATACTGAAAACAGAAATTAAATTTGGTGTACGTAATGCTGAATGTAAGGCCCCCATTTTTCTTCCATTTCTTAAGACTGAATAGGCAAATTCTCAGCAGACTGGAAGTTTCTTCTCCAGCGAGTCTGATCAGCCCAGGAGGAATGACTGACTTCAGATGTTCCCCAACAAAGGGTACACTCTGATCATCCTAACTTGAAACTCAGAGTCTATAAAGTTGCAACCATGTATACAAATCTTCTAAAAAGCTTTTTTTTTTTTTTTTTTTTTTTTAACCGTTCCACTTGTAAAAATGGAAAAAAAAAAAGATTTGGGGAGAAAGCTCAGAAGCAATCCAGACAAAAGCAGAAAAAGCAATTTGGAGAAAAACAGAAAATTGCAAGAAAGCTCAAAAAAGAAAGAATTGTGCTGCTACATTGTATGTTTGCTATGTAAATTAGCTTTAAAACTACTAGTAAAGTGGGGAATTAGGTAGGAATAAAATGGAAATAATATTTGTTCAGATGTGATTTTTCCCTTCTTAAGAAAGAGAAGCCAGAGAATCAGACTTAATGAACTTCAGCAAGAAATGAAAAGGACTTCATTTAGCTGCCATCCTGGAAGCAGGAGTCTTCCAAGTATATTTTTAAAAAATTTAAAATAAGCGTTTACAACCAGGGTTCCCACTCGAGAGAGGCATACCGGTTTTATGCAGCTTGACTGGTGGCTGGTTGAACCACCTACCCTGACCACTAACTAGCAGCCTTGTGGTTTAGATCCCTATTTCCATGTGTACCTCACTGTCTACCAGCCCTCCTCTTAACATTTTGCCAGCACATTTACACCAGTTTTTAAAAAGTTTTACTGAGGTATCATTGACATACAGTAGGTTAAAGTGTAAATCGATCTGATAAATTTGAGATGTGTTTACAGTTATAAAACTATCATCTCAATCACAATAATAAACATCTCCATTATCCCCAAGGATTCCCTCCTGCCTTTTGATCCCTTCCTGTTCTCCAGTCCCTTGCTTCCCTTCCCAGGCTACTCTGTTATTTCTGAGCACTTTAAACATCTGTGGTAGTCTCCAGCAATTCTACAAAATAAATGGCTTTTGATCTTCACAAGTATGAAGTTCATGAAAGTCAAGGAAACTCGAGGAATTGTTTCAGACTGAAGGCTAAAGAGACACGAAAACTAAATGCAACGTGTAATCTTGGACTGAACTTTCTGCTATAAAGGGCATCTTTGGGATGATTGCCAAAACATGAAGGGGTTGTGGACTTCATGTAGTAAGGTAGTAGTGTTAGCTTCCTGATTCTGATGGTTGTACTGTTTTGTAGGAAAATGTCATTGTTCACAGAAACTATACTCTGAAGCTGTGCTCCCCAGTATGGTGGCACCTAAGCCACTGATACCTATAAGCACTTGAAATGTAGCTAACATGACACATAGAAATAATATTTTGGATATGAACAAAATATATTAAATTTTTTTTGTTTTATTTTTTAACATGGGCTACTAGAAAATGTAATATTGCATAGGTGTCTTGGATTATATTTCTGTTGGATGGCACTGCAAAGTATGCACACTAATTGTTTATCACGTTAGCAACTTACTCTCAATTCTCAAATTCTTAAGTATATTCCTTAAATTCTTGTTCAGGAAATATGTTGGAACTTTTCTGCAAGATTGAAATTATTTCAAAATAATTTCAAAACATTTCAATGAATTCAAAACAATTTCAAAAATAATTATCAATAAAGGACAAAGTGTAAGTTTTCTTAGGTCGTTGAGAAAATAGGAATAACAGAATTTTAAGGAAGGTTATACAAGACAGAGACATTTACTCTGGGCCTATCATGAACTAAATCCTTAACTAAATCTCTATCTCTAAATCTCTCTATCTCTAAATCTTAGGAATTTTATGATTTAATCCCCACAACCGTAACAAGTAATGGGAATTATTTTCTATGTTTAGACTGTCATGGTGCCTTTAAGGAGCCACCTTTCCCTAGTAGCACTAACAAATTACACATAAAGCATAATTTACTCCACTGGATGTTGCCTGCTTGTCACACATGCACTCGCTTAGGGGTTGTTCACTGGTCTCTTTACCACTCCTATTGCCCATCTACCATTAGCTGTGAACTGACTTGACTCCCACACTCAGCTTCTACTCTACAGCCTTTCTTAGGGTAGCACCCGTCTAGATATGACTAGGCCTCTTTACAGTTTCCTCCAAATGAGTCTGGTCTTGTCTTGAGAGCAACGTGGACAGTCTTCCTTTCAACAGTAGGGAAACTGAAGCTCATAAAGGTTAAGTAACCTATATAACATTATGCAGCTGGGATTCAAATCTAATTCACTCCACTCTGTATAAGAAGGTACACCTACATAACTATCTTTGACAATTCATTTTCTCTCATTACCCCTTTTCCTTTATAGGACTTACACAATTCATAATTCTCTTATTTACTTATTATGTCTCCCATAGGAGATGTCAGTTCTGTGAGAGCAGGTATTTTATCTGACATTTCGTAGCTATGTCCCAGTACTTGGAACCTAAGTGCTCAATAAGTATTTGTTGAATGAAAAAAAAAGTTACCATTTTTTCCCAATGTGTAAAATCTTTGATTCTTTTTGGGGGCTACAGTGCAGTTATTTACAAAGGTTTTTCTTTTTCTTTAGGTATGTTATGTATAAAAGTGGCTACTTTCCATAATAAATGAAAATGGCCAATTCTTTAAGAGGAGAAGTACTGAATCTTTATAAAAATGTAAGTAATTATGTTGCCAGTCTTATATATATGTTACTGAGATACAGATCGTTTAGAAATATATTAACCTTTCTTTTTTAAGCTGCTGTATCTTGGACGAGACTATCCAAAAGGAGCAGACTATTTTAAAAGGCGTCTGAAGAATGTTTTCCTAAAAAACAAAGATGTGAAGGACCCAGAGAAGATCAAAGAACTTATTGGACGGGGTGAATTTGTAATGAAAGAGCTAGAAGCCTTATACTTCCTTAGGAAATACAGAGCGATGAAACAACGCTATTATTCAGATACCAACAAAACTAACTGATCTATATTACTATAATTTGGCTGGAATTCAGTGCCAGCTCTTTATGTACACCAGATATAACAGTAACTGCAACTTAAAATGGCAAGATATACACATTATGTAAAAAAATACCTGAGCTGTCTTAATGAACTAAAATAAGCAACTTTGGTTCACAGAGCTTTATCAGCAACCCTTTGTTAATTTTTATACAAAATCAGCAATATAGCCAACTACCAATTAAAAACTAATGAGTACCCAATTTTGAATGTACTTAGTTTCAACTTACTAAATTTTTTTACCTATTACTCTTAGCCCCCTTTCTCCATTTTACTGACAAGAGAATGCCATTTAATGCATTTAACTAAGCAAAATAATTTCTTGCCCATTAATTTCCTGTAACTTTTGAAGGAGTACCACCTTATTTTTGAACATATTTGGTACATTAACAGCACACATTCAAGGTTCACTGCAAAACAAATAGCACATGGTAATGATTTAAGTGCAGTTATAGAAATATGTATGGAGTAAGATTATTTCTGATCTTGAAGTAGGCTGCCAGTAACTGGCATTATATACATACCTATTTAATAACATCCGTTATTGGGGCGCCTGGGTGGCTCAGTGGGTTAAGCCTCTGCCTTCGGCACAGGTCGTGATCTCTGGGTCCTGGGATCAAGCCCCGTGTCAGGCTCTCTGCTCAGCGGGGAGCCTGCTTTCCCCTCTCTCTCTGCCTACTTGTGATCTCTCGCTCTCAAATAAATAAATAAATAATCTTAAAAAAAAAAAAACAAAACTTCTGTTACTGATTCTGCTGCTGGCTCCCTTTCAGTCTTGAAACAAATCACCTCCTGTGTATCAATTACCCTTACTGATAAGAAGTATTAAATAATGTTAATCTGTTCTTTCATCATAAAGGCAGATCTGTTTTACATCTACTTCTAAATAAGTTAACACAGTAATGGACCTAAATCTAACATGGTTTTAAGCAAACACTTAAACCTATAAAATAATGTTCACAGCACCTTTCACAAATAATAAAGAATATCTCTAACACATAAGCTGCAAAAGATTCACTAATATAGTGTGGCTTATAAATGATTCCGTATCAACTGTGGGGCAAATGTTTCAAATTTCTGTCAAGAAGTACACACGATCATAGTCACCATAACTATTTTTATTACATTACAATAATTAGGAGCAGTACAGTTCATGACAAAAATATTACAAATTTCAGATCACTTCACAGCACATACTCCTATAAACATTTAAAAGTTAATTTTAATTAAAAGAGTGGTCATTTTTAAATTTAATGTTTGATATGACCAACATTCCTAGGTCAGCGCAACCAAATGATGGAAAACAACTGGATCACACTGCATATGTCCCACAAAAAAAAGCACAATGTACAAAATGTGCATGTTTCAGTTTACACTATACAAAAATAGTTAAAATACATTCCAGGTAAACATGTTACATTAAGAAATAGTACTAGTAAGAAATTGGCACTCAAAGGAAAAATGCAAAAGTATTTTCAACATGAAAACACAAGACAGTGGAATTGGAAACTTTTGGATAAAACATTACATAACCCATTTAGCACTATGGGGAGGGGGACCCTTTGTAATGGACATTTCTGCAAGTAGGAACTTTGTTCCTAAATTCATCTAAATTGCCTATCATCATCCCAAACAGGCACTTAAAACTATTAAACTAAAACAATTATTAATCTTGTTATGACTTCTTCAAGAACTGATGTAAATATATCTTTAGGAAGAAATAATTTTCATTTTCTGAAGGAATTTACAGCTACCAGTTGTATGCTGTTCGATTTTTCAATGCAGATTTCATGCTACCCAATACTAACACAGAAGTTATTAAATATAAATTCAGTTTTAAAGTAACTGATGTTTTTTTTTAAAAACCATTAATACAGTTATCAAGAAATTACTTTTTAACAATGGAAATGACAGTTTTTATTGCCTACCAAAAAACAATGTGTATTGTTTGGAAAAATATGGTTAGAAGAAAAAAGTCACTGAACACAGATGAACTTGTGCAAACTGCAACTGAACATGCCTCACGAAGTTTCTATATATATTAGGACAAAATTGTGCAATGGTGGCAAAGATTTTGATAACCTATAAGTTAGGTTCTAAATTCCTATGCAGTGTGACTCAGTTAAAATAGAGCCTAGAATTCCTAATTGGGAATATTCACTCAAATTATACTACATACTTCTGCTACATTCTTCCACAAACATGTTAATGTCTAAAACTATGTAATTTTAGCAATTTTTTCAACTCCAAGGGTTTTTATCTTTAAGGCTGTAATAATTACATAATATTTCTTTCTAGGATTATCGCTCCCCTTTTAAAATCTCTACAAAAACAAACCTTTTCTCAAACCATTCAAAATTCACATAATAAAGGATAATTACCACTGCCTAAAAAAGCTGCCCAGCTACATCAAAAAATTGAAGAGTCCTAAAAATCCCTCAGTTATGCACTGCAATTCCTGAAGTATGGCCATTTCTTTCTCTTGTGCAGAAACAAGAGTAAGTACTATATAAAGTCTTAACACCCTATCTAATGTTCCATAAACCTGTAGTTTAGCATAGCATTTCAGAAATTGGACTGATTTTTACACAGAAATTTCCTTTTCTGTGAATTAGTTCAGGCATCTGTTTATTCATACCCAGATAAATAAAACTATTTTTGAATTCAATATTTAAGTCTATTTTAATTATGATACAAAGCGACCAACTAGAATATTACACACTTGGGAATTTTAATGTTATCATCTGACATACGATTTAATGTATACTGCAACTGTCCCAAGAAAATCACATAATTATCCCAAATAAAAAACATTATAGTTAAGTTTACTCCTTTAAAATAATGAAGTAAAGTGATTTATATAAAGTAGCTTGATTAAAGAGCTTTATTGGAATCAGAGCATAACAATTATTTTAGAACTGGAAGAAACCTTAGAGACCATATCACTTCTTTGCAAAACTAATATATGCATTATATTATCTCTGGGTCATGTGCCAAATGCCTCACTAAGATATTACAGACTGCTCTCTAAAATATCAGCACTACTTAAGGATAGGGATTATGTCCCTCATTGGGAATACCGTAGTATCCCCAGTGCCTTGTGTAGTACCTGGCATCCAATAGGCACTCAAATATTGGGTGGACAAATGAATTCCACTAAAAAGTAAGCTTTATGAATTAAGTTTTAAAGTATTTTTCATTGTAAGAAGATTTTACTTACTAAAATAATGGAATGTATCACTGTTTCCAGGGCTAGCCCTAGTTTTAGATTATCTAAGGAAATCCTTCAGTATTTATGAATTTATTAAATTCTACTGGATAAGGTCTGTCTTTTCATAGCAGGAATGAAAATTCCTACTTTTCCTATTTAGTCATTAGTGGACCAGGTAGCAAAGAGATGATGTTCAAAGGATCAAAATTAAATTGCTATAGCTACCACCTGAAAATTAGCTATTAGGTCAAACCCTACTACAGTATCTGTCAGATTATGTTGAGCCTGACTAATGTGACTTGATGGGAAGCCTTCGTGGAGATATCTAAAGCAGCAATAAATCTTGAGGTTAGGGGAATTAGAAGTATTAAAAGAAAAAGCATCAAGTCACGGGGCATACAGAAGGGTAGGTAGGCAAGATGACACTAATATGGGAGAGGAGTACTGCTACTGGAGAACAGATACCTAAAAAATAAACTTCACCTCTTGCACAACTTTGTCTAAGACTGGTGCTGAAACACAGGTAAAACACAGGTAAAAAGTTACAGATTGTGCTGACACTGACAAATAGATATATCCTTATGTAAACTGAATGAAAATCACATAGTTGTAATGCTAGCTATAGCCTTTGAGATGACTTATTTTAACATGAAGAAATGGATAGCAAGTGATTTGCCCAAAACTGAAGTTGTAAAAGACATGTAACTAGAATCTAAGTCACCTTCCTCCTAGTCCAGTGATATTTTCACCTCAATACACCATCTCACTTCAGATATTTAAAAATACATTTTAAACGCACTGAAAGAATCAGTTATTAATTTATTATTTAAGCATTAGTTATTCTTAAATATGGACCATACTTGTAAAGTGTGTATGAAATATTACTTTAGCCAATATTGAGAACTAACCAATACTAAAGATTTGGAAACTTTTTCACATCATTGTTTAAAAAAATTAAAGTCTTGCCACCCCCTACCCCAAAATCTTATTTGAAATAATGCTTTTAAAAAAATTCTATTGTGTTTTTTTTTGTTTTTGTTTTTGTTTTTGTTTTTTAAAACAAAAGTGATGTTCCTGATATGTCTGCAGGACCACCACATAGTGAGGATGCATCTTATCCAAACTCTCCTCGCCCCCACTTTTCACTACCCAATGCACGGCAACACTGGGGACTACAGGGATGTAGTCCATACCATGAAACTCTTAATGAAGCTCAAAGGTTCACACAAGGCCTGGCCTTGCAACCTTGGTCACTTTAACATCTACCAAAGCTAATTGGCCCAAATAATCTTTAATGTCACTACCAGAATTAAAACTATTTTCTAAGACCGAAGATCAAGAAAAAATTTAAAGTTATGCTAAGAAAGAGCAATCTGACATAGGGAGACTATATTTAATTCCTATGGGAATTTTTTATACATGTTAAAATTTTTTCAATTGATACAAAAATTTAGTAGCATGTAAATATAGCCCCAAAATGGTTGCTATAATCCTCATTACATACTGGGTCTGCCTTAATAGGAAAAGCTATTCAGAGTATTAGAGGAATTTATCTAATATGGAAAGTAAATGCCTTTTAATATTTTCCATTGCCTTGTATTTTTTTTTCCATTTTTTCCCTTTTTATAGAAAAAATATATTTTTGGGAGTGTGACTATGACAAATAGCAGTGAAAAGATGGAGAAAACCTTTGTGAACAGTGTAACTTTACATTCATTAAGGGTGACTGAAACTATAGGACATTATACCTGTAAGATGAATCTATAAGAAGTCCATAAATTCATGTTCCCTCAATGTTTCAGTAAAACCCATCATGAAATCTCAACTGAAATTATAATTAGTAATTAATCCATGTATGTGACTAGATAAAACACAGAATAGGGATGATTCAAAAGCTTCATTAATTTGTTTCACACCAAAGTTCACAATTGGTAAGAAAAATAGGAAGTAATCAACTGCATGCACCAAAAACCCCAAGACAGAAATCTCAGGTATTCAGTTTCTTTTTCACAGGCATTGCTAGTTCAAAAACCAAAACTCAGGGAATACTGGCACTTAGAGGAAAAAAGAGTTTCCACTGTCATTTTAAAATAAGCATTCAAGATAAAAGCTAACAGTTTGGATGGAGCAGAAAATTAGGTAATGCTAAAACAAATGCTAATAATTTAGTGTAATGTACAAAAATTACCACTTTTACTTAAGTATGCCTTAAGAAAAAAGTACAAATTGTATTTACATAATTATACACTTTGTCTTTGACTTCTTTTTCTTCTTTTTACCATCTTTGCTCATCTTTTCTTTATGTTTTCGAATTTCTCGAACTAATGTATAGAAGGCATCATCAACACCCTGAAACACATAACAAGTATTAAAATGTGGGTATATATGATAGGTTGAGGTATATAGATAACAGAAAGGACTATGACTACCGGAAACTCTAATACTGATAAAGAATAAGGACACTTTACATCTCTCCTTAGGCAACTGAATATGTATCAGACTTTTAGGAATCTTATAATGTCTTCTTCCTGACTATTTCATCAATATCATAAATAGGAACACTATTTCTCACAAAAGGCAAGGACAATCAATGTACATAATCTCACATAAGCTGAACAAATAACTTTTTCCCAGAATTACTTTACTACTCATCTGTCCATATTGGCACCCTTGGTCACCAAAATCCAAATGCATTTGTGTGTTTTTCTATGTGTAAATATACATTTACACTTAATTATCCCAGAGTTTCTAGATATTAGATATAAGCCATGCAAGTATATATTACTTTCATAAGTATTCAGTAACAATATTTGAGCTCTGGGTTCAATATTTAGATGTAAATAATCCCCAGGAAGTAAACAGTATTCAAATATCCTTTAAGTTTTCAAATAATATATATTAAGGCATTAGTTTCAACTCATATACTTAACATACTGAAACTTCAAGTGGCTCCAAGATAAGACACAACAGTTTGAAAAATATAATACCTTGATTTTGTAGAGAAATGAGCTAAATCATTTAAATGATGGTGTAGTCACCAATCTGGAGTACATTCTCTTTTACTTATTATTGTTTTAGTTTCTGTTTAATATATTATGTATGTATCCAGGAGTTTGCCATATAAAGCCAAATGCTATTTCTTCAAAGAAATTTCCATTTGGTTATTTTGGTACATCTATTCATGATCAAAGCAAGGTATATAAATAAGTACTGGCTGAAAGTGATTTCAAGTCAGAATAATTTTTGACCTAATAATTTTCAGGTGGAAAATGGCACTCTGAAAGTGGTAACAGAACCGGAGATTTTAACCCTGCAATGCTGAAATTATACAAGATTATAAAAGTCAATTCCTGTCATGACCCCATTAAAAAGCAGATTAAATATAAAAACAAAATTAAAAAAAAAAACAGGAGAAAACAAAAAATTTAAAAAGTATGATCCTCTATGTATCTTAAAATCTGTTCTACAGAATAGTTAATTATTCTTAAGCCTGTTAACCTAATGATGCTTTTAAACAGAGACACTAGAGGGAGTCCTAAGAACAAATACCCAGTAAATATGGTTGTCTAGATTAAGCCACTTTAAGAACAATGGAAATTGGGTTTTTTCTCATTTCAACCACTCTGTTAAATATTCATATAAATACATTCATTAAGTTATATTATGTTAAACATAATTTAAATATTTAACAATGATATAGGATTTCTCCTTTACTGTGCTACTAAGATAATTTACAATTAATATTTCAATATAATAAAATTAATTCAGGGCATTTTCATTCAAGTTACATTTAACTAATTTTCACAATAGATCTAAAAATCAGAACAACATTATCCATATTTCTAAAGAAACACAGAGTAGGAATGACATGCTTGGTTAGGTTTAAATAAACAGTCGTAGGGGTGCTGGGTGGCTCAGTTGGTTAAGCAATCAATTCTTGATTCTGGCTCAGGTCACGATCTCTGCTCGCAAGATCAAGCCCCATTACCAGCTCCTTGCTGAGAGCAGAGTATGCTTGAGATTCTCTCCCTCTGCCCTTCCCGAGCACACCCCTGCACACCCATGTGCTCTCTCTCTCACTAAGGGGTGCCTGGATAGCTCAGTCATTTAAACATCCAACTCTTGATTTCAGCTCAGGCCATCATCTCTTGGGGTCCCGGAAATGAGTCCCACACTGAGCTCTCCTTTCAGCAGGGAGTCTACCTGAGGATCTCTCTCCCTCCCACTGTCCCCCCCCCCCAAAAATAGATCTTGAAAAAATAAAAGCTTTTAATAAGTAAATAAAGAGCTTTAGGATAAAAAACAGAATTTTTGTGTGAAGTCTAGTGAAAAAAGTCCCCAATAAAACACCCAACCTGCACTCACTGAACTCCACTTTCTGATATTCATTACTGACACACACCTGCCTTTCCTTTACCGAAAGGAGAGAGGAAAAGAGATAAAATGTAATTTATCAGCAATATAATCAAGACTTAATATAGAAAAACCTTCATTCTAGCCCTTTTAATATATAAAAAGGAGAAACTTCCACTGATATAATAAAGAATAGTTATTTTATTGCTCAGCAACCCAACTAATTTATAATCGAAAATCCTTAGAATGGTAATGGAATCTTAAAAGAAGATCTAGTCCAACTCCCCCACCCTTCACAAATTACCTTTGATCCCACACACAAAGCTTATGCAGTCTACTCCACTTCAACTGTTTTTATAATAAAGAAAAATGTCAATGATACTAAAATAGTGAAGCAGATAAAATGAAAACCATGATACGGATATAGAGAAGACACATTCTAAGGTGAAAACAAGATAAAAGTGTTTAGGAGACAATGAAAACAGAATTGTTAACATTACCTTCTTTCACTAAGATTTTGACAAATACTTTAGGTTAATATTGCATTCTTTCTCAATGCTGAACTCTTTTTTATGTAACTTATTAAAATTAAACAATTTCAGGGGAGCCTGGGTGGCTCAGTGGGTTAAGCCTCTGCCTTCAGTTCAGGTCGTGATCTTAGGGTCCTGGGATCGAGCCCTGCATCAGACTCTCTGCTCAGCGGGGAGCCTGCTTCCCCCTCTCCCTCTGCCTGCCTCTCTGCCTACTTGTGATTTCTGTCAAATAAATCAATAAAATCTTTACAAAAAAAAACAATTTCAATGATTAGGGGTAGGTTATAATTAGTAAAAACAGGGCATTGAATTCCTTTCTTCCATATGGGAAATGGTCATTTTCATATACACATGAAAGACAAAAACATTATCCCAGTAATTTTGCTGAAACCCAGCCATTTTAGAACTAAGAAAAACTAATTTGTATATATTTATTACTGTGAAAATAATTTTTGAAAAACTACTTTTATTTAAAATTTTAAGTATTACCAAGTGCACTTTTTAATTTAAATGCTATCCATGCCCAGAAGAAACAAGGATTCAATTCATCATACCCACCGGTTATTTGACATTTGCACTAGTCACAAATAAGAAATCTTAGAAGACTATGTGCTTCTACCTTTGTTTTTAAAAAAAGTTAAACTGCAAAACTTTATTCTAAATATTGTACTTTAAAAATCACCTACTAGTAAGAAAACAGGAGGAGAAAACTAAAAAAAAAAAATCCATCACCTAATTCTAGTCATGGCTACTATTAAAAATGTTTAACTTTTCAAATTGCATTGCAATATTAAATTTTACCAGAACTTCTAAGTTAAGATATTGCTCTATACAATGATACTCAAAAAATATTAAGAGTTCATAAATCTCAATAAAAATTAATGCCAGTCATGCTTTATTTATTCTTCTGAGGTTAGCTGATTAGTATAGCATCTGTCTTTTGGGACTGAACCTATTATTCAGTACATTTTATGCTTTTGGGAGATACACTGATTACTTTAGACCTTAAATCCACATAATAAAAACTACTGAGTGAAATCTTTTTTGAGCAAGACCAAATTTAATATGAGTTGGTTGGGAAAGGAATACTGGGGCACCTGGGTGGCTCAGTCAGTTAAGAGTTAAGAGTCAGTTAAGAGGGACACCTGGATGGCTCAGTCAGTTAAATGGCTGCCTTTGGCTCAGGTCATGATCCCAGAGTCCTAGGATCAAGTCCCGCATCGGGCTCCTCGCTCAGCCACTCCACCTACTTGTGTGTTCTCTCTCTGTGTCAAAAAAATAAATAAAATCTTAAAAAAAAAAAAAAAGAGTCCGTTAAGAGTCCAACTCTTGATTTGAGCTCAGGTCATGATCTCAGGGTCATGAGATGGAGCCCCATGTCAGGCTTCCATGCTCAGCATAAAGTCTCTCTCTCCCACCAAAGTGCACGCGCACACTCTCTAAAATAAGTAAATCTTAAAAAGGAAACTTGAGAATGCCACTCAATAAATTCAAATGGGCAGCAACCACGTGCCAGGTAGCACATGTTAGGCCATCATCATGCAAAGATTGAAAATAAATGATTCTGGCTATGATTCTACTGTATAGGAATCAAACATAAAAGAGATTATTTCAATTTAACATGGCAAGCATATAACAGTTAAGAACAGTATATTGGGAATACACAGGAAGGGCACTATGCCTAGTCTAAGGCTATAAAGAAAGATTCTTGGAGAATAAAGAATCATGAAAAAAATGTTAGCTAATTATTAAGACTATGGATAAAGGTACTGGCATTCCAACCAAGAGCAACAGCCAAGACTCAAGGGAAGGCAAGAAATAACATGGTGTTTATTTATGTAAGAACCAAACCAAACCAAACCAAACAAAAAACCCACCAACAAAAGAAAACTTCAAGGACTTTTTAGGGATAAGACCAAAGGCTAGAAGGGTAGGAAGATGTTAAAAAAAAAAAAAGACATATTTAACATACTATCAAGTTTGAGATTTTATTCCATAGGTAACAGAAAGTTAGTGACTGGACGTCAAGAAAAGGGAATGACATTTCTTTTAATTGTATCTCTCCAGCTGTACTGTGAATAAAGGCAGCAACAGGTAAACCAAATAAGAGGATATAACAGTCCCAGCAAGAGATGATAGGAACCTGAACTAACAATGTGATAAAAGTCAAAATGTAACATCAAAGGAATTTGTGGTTGCCTCCAAATGGGAGTGCACAAGAGGGAAGTCAGAGTCATCCCAAGACTTCCAGGTTTCTTGGGTAAAAAAATGATACTGATGCCACTGAGTTAGAGAACACAGGCAGAACAACTATTTGCTTGCAGAATGTCCAAAAGAAAGAATACATTTTAATAGTGGGCCCTTCCCCACCTTCTGGACTGTTCAACCTTACTACTCTACGCAGTTTCCTTTCTTTTTTTTCTACACCCGATGACAAATGTAGTCTATAGCTATCAAATCTGCATCAATTATAATTAATACACATTAGATTAAAAATAAATGAACTAATCATAGAAACAAACTACCAATTTCTTATCTTTTAATACAGAACCCCACACCTAGGAAGTTCTAAAATGGTTGCTACTTTGTTACCTTGGAAAGACATCTGCTTTCTGCCAAAATTAATATGCTGAACTTACCAGATTACATTACAATGCATTTTTTAATTTTCACACAGCCAGGAGTCTTTTCTTCTTTGTTGATTTTTTTCAATCTGTATTGTCGGATCTCTCTCACCAATGTATAAAAAGCATCCTCCACTCTCTGCATTGTAAAACACAACTTCTTTAAAGTCTGTTTCATTGGTAATGTTAATTTATTGGGACAACCTTGTGTAAGAAGTTTGAAATTGTGACCTTTACTTGAGAATTTCTTTTTAAAACAGACATCAGATTGTTTGAATAAAACTGTGGATGAAGCTTTAAAATATGGGCTTGAATCCTGGTTTGTTCTTTAAAATCATTTCTTATAATGGAATTAGAATTTTTAAAAAATTTTAATTAGCAATTAGGGGAGATTATGAAAAACCTAAGCACATATATTAGCATCTGTGGATCAATTAATGTAAACATTTTAGTTTGTTAATCATGGAATTAATCAAAGCTTAACCTGAAGTTAGATTTAAATTATTTAATTTAGGAAAAATAAGCAGCCCTACCTCTCCCACCCTGCCCTACCTGGGGAATGAGGAGAAAAATGGTACAAAAGGGATGTTTAAAGTTAAAACACACACACACACACACACACACACACACACACACAAAATACCTCAAAATAAAGTTGGGTCAAGAGACTGGAATCTTGAGTTCTATATTCAGTTAAAACACAGTCCAGCCAATTTTTAGAGCCCACAAATGGAGCTGAGACTGGAAGGGATTTTTGTGGGTGGACAGCTTATATTATTTAAATAAAAATGCTACATGAGGGCTATTTATCATAATATGAAAACACTATGAATTGTTTAAAGTACACACACAAAATAGTAGTAATGCATTTTGTTTTCTTATTTGAAAGAAGTCTTAAAAATAATTTTTAGAACAGGATCCAATTACAATGGCTTTATACCTTCTATTCTAATTTAAATACTCTAAAGGGAGAAAAGGGACATTTGCTTAATGCCATAGTAAGAAAGCTATGACGACAAACACAATCATATATGGCCATATGGTCATGAAGTTTTTAATGTCTTTTCCATTCCAGAAAGTAAGCAGTAGCCAAAGGGGAATAGTAGTCAGTTAACTGTGCTCCTAGTTTGTCTAAGAAAACATACCACCAAAAGTTGAAACTTACATCTAAAGATAAATACACACAAATATTAATCTACATGTACTGATTAATTTCAAAGATTAATAATTATGTTTATTCTTCTAAAAGAAAATACAAGTATTTAGAAAGGCTGGTATATTTTATTATACATTTAATTTTAAGCCTAATCTGTTTTTAATTTTTAAAACGTATTACTTAATATGGGAATTGGCATATTTTAATTCTCTGGGATTGGTAACATCAGTCCTTTTATGAACCAAATGTGACAAAATGGGCCCAGTACCTAGGAAAGCTAATATATATAAAAAATATGATTTGTAGTTTTAAATTTAATCAGGCACAGAGAATTGGCCATTTAAATATTAACTGAAGTAAACCACTTGTTATGGTTCAATTTTTGCATGTCGAAGTTCATCACATATTCATTGTGTTTAGTAATAGTTAAGGGGAAAAAAAAAGCACATCAATTCTTTAGGGCATATTAATTTTTATAAATCTCAAGAATATACTAAGTACTGCTTCAGTTGAGTTCAGTAGTTTACCTTTGAAGTAAAACTTTAAAATTCATAAAATTAAGTTTCAGTTAATAGGCATTTAAGTATGTTGTTTACATGTTAAAATGTACGTCTCAAGTTATTTATAACCATCCAGTGATATATTTTTATTTGGCTATCTAATAAAAAATCGTAATAGCCCCCAAAAATCTAATCTCTTTTTTAATGGAATCAATTTACTCAACTAGCTAGCCAGCTAGCTAAGTCAACTACAAAATAAAGATTTCTAACCATTTTCTGAAATTATTAAATACATTGGTACTTCAAGTTAGATACTCACTTGTGCCTGTATACAAATTTTTAGTATTTTGTATTTATCATTCTCAAGAGGAAAGGATTTTTAAGTCCTTAAAAAATTATATATTAGAAATTCTCATTACATAAGATAAATAATTTAATGCATTAAATGACTCCTGTGAAACATGTAAGATGTAAAGTATGAGATGGCATTTAAGATATTAAGATATTTTCATAAATGACTCTTTCAATTAAAAAAATCAATGCAAGAAATTAAAAAATATATATATACACACACTTAATATGTATGTATACACACACACACACACACAAATAAAACAAACCAGGTAAAAGCTCATATTTTTTAAGAATGTAAACTCTTATTCCTATTTTTAAAAAAATTACAAGGTCAGTAAGAGAAGTAGTAAAACATGCTAGGGGCAGAGGACAGGGTTTTGGTCCTCCACCAATTTAGGAGAAGCAAATTTTGATTGTAATTTGTTTCTAAAATCAGTTTGAATGGGTCTACTTTTTAAGTGTTGTGTGCATCCCCATCACCAGTACAGAATATATGATTTTTGTTTCCAGCAATGCAGAGAGAGAATTGGAGGCCAATAATTAAAAAGAAGCGATTACTACCCACCACCAAGAATTCAGCATTAGGATCTGAGTAGCTAAGATAATTAACACTGATAAATAGTTCTTCCAGAGTGACTCTGGTCATTTCTTATTTTTACTAAGAGGAAATTATATTAGATTTTGAAGAGTCAGTTATTTACTATATTTTCTCAGACTTAAATTACTTCTCATTTCTTGATAATATGCTTTAAAAGTCATACGACATCAAGAGAACATTATTCGTTCTTGTTTGCACCTTAAGCCACTGGCACTACCAAAGAACACTGGTTTCATACTCTAAAATGTGTAGGTAATTTTTGAAGACGAGGTATAGCTGAAACAGATTTTCAATACCCTCTTAGCCAGCTGCTGAGCTCTTAACTGGCACTCAATGATTTATTCTTGAGAATATGGCTTATTGCCACATATATTCATTTTCAAACATCACTTACTAAATTTTCAGAACTGAAAATATGTAGGAACAAAAGTGTACAAGTTCATATGTGTAAATTGTTTATAAATCAAGAGATCTGACAATAATTTCAGCTCAGCTATTATGTGAAAACACACTTATGAGACTAAGGAAATAGGGCATTCCATACCAGAAAAGAAATGGTCAACAAATAGCACCATACAATAATTCACTATATTCTACGTTCTGGTGCCTATAATGCTTTCACTAAACAATTTCACTCTAAACGAGTTCCTACTGAGAAGCTTATTACAAAAAAAATTCTTGAAAACACTTTCAAGGAAGTAACACTTCCAAAACTTCAATATAGGCAGATACAAGACTACTAGCCTTTCCTTGGGAGACAGGAATGGGAGATACTAGATGCATTCTTTAAAAGAATTCTGTATTGATGAATTTCTCAAGAAACCTTGCCAAACCACAGCTCATGTCAGGTACACTGAACTGCAGCACTACCGCTAACTTGGGAGGTCATGCTTGCCGCACATAGCAGGTGCTCAGTTACTGTTTTATTTTTAACTCATAAAAAAGCTAAAGTTCAAAATATTTATCTCCTGTACACAAACTCAACTACTAACCAATAGAAATATGGCACATAAGGAGGTTTTTTATTTGGTTTGCTTCAAAACAATGTAATAGAGGTCATCTAACACCTAATTTTAAGTAGCTAGAAATTAACAAAAACCAGGAAATTAATCACTCAACATTTTTAAATTTGTAAAACTAATTTTCACATAATGCTCAAACTGAGACCTCCAGAAAATAAAAAAGCTGAATTAGGAGTAGTAGATATGCTTAGAATTCTGCTTCTGTCATTCACTTTCCTGAACCCTCCCCAATTCTGATTTTAGCAGACTGGAAAACACATAGCTGATTACCATGGTGTCAATGTTTTGGTTTCAATAGTCTTTGTCAACACTGCATGCACTGCCCAATGAGGCCAGAAAAATCTGGCAATTACTAAACTACCCAGATAAATGTGAAGTAGGTAAGGTCTTTATATACTTGGAACATAGGGGCCACATAAAGCATACTAGCAGAAAATAAAATTACTCTGGCTTTTCAGATGTGGACTAAAATATTGTAAAAAATCTGTAATTCACTATATTCTAGCCCATATAATGGGCTTTTTAAAAATTACAAAGTAATTTCATAAAATATATATTGTGCAAACCTATCTTAAAAAGTACTAGAGTAAAACTACTATTTCCCTTTCATAGAATATGTAACTTTTATTTTTAAATTACTACTCTTAGCCTGTAAAATTTAAGTCAAAAGTGTGACCTAACTTCTAGCATCTAATCGAACAGTACAGTTCCCCAGAGAATCAGGGATCAGCACACTACAGCCCGCAGGCCAAATGTAGCCACAGCCTATTTTTTCGTACTGGCCAAAAACTAAGACTGATTTTTGCATTTTTAAAGGGTTATAAGAAAAAAAAGAAAACTCCAACAGATACCACTTGTGGTCCCCAAAGTTTGGGCTCAGTCAGTTAAGCATCTGCCTTAGGCTCAGATCATGATGGGACCGAGACTCACATCCAGTTCCCTGTTCAGCGGGAAGCCTGCTTCTCCCTCTCCCTCTGCCTTCTGCTCCCCCCAGTTGTGTGCTATCAAATAAATAAAATCTTAATTAAAAAAAAAAACACTTATTGTCTGTTCCTTCTAAATGAATGTTTTTTTCCTACCAACCTTAACATAAATAATTCTTCTTGGTGTTTCGGTTTTAAGTTCATGCTCAAGACTAAAACTTAGGGTATGAAACAAGTAACTGCTGATAAAATTCAACAAGAGTATGCATATTTAGTTTTGCTCAAAAAACAAATAAATAATAGATAAGTAACAAAATACTCTGTAGAAAATAGGGCTTCAAATTTTCACAAAAACTGGAAATGTAAAATTTATGAAAATTTATATTTATCACAATCTCCACAATTACTTGGAACAGCTCTTTAAAGTCTTCCAAAAGCATGCAAATATCAAATTAATTTCAACAGAAGAAGATGAATAAACTTTTGAAAGGCAAATCAACAAGTCCATAAAATAAAAAGAAATCAAAGATCAGAAACTAAAATATCTAAGTTATAGTTTAGCAACATAAATTATATAAAGATGTAAATAAAAATAGGTTTTAAGAAAAGCTAAGCATTAGAAGAAATAAAGTACAAGTATTCCTTTACATTACTCTATATTTTAATTAGATGATTTACATAAATGTCTACAAAGCAATTTTAAATTAATCCACTTCCATATCATACATACTACATTTACTTTCCCTACCCTCTCCCAAAACTGTATAAAACCTACAAAATCTACTTTAAAAGGAATCCAGGTAATCTTCTGATTATTATGAATGCTGTGGTATATTAAAGCATTAATGTCAAACATTGAATAAACCAGTACTTCTTAGATAGTAACTATACAAGAAAGAAGACAGCTATTTCAGGCTCTTAAATAGAGGGCAACATTGTCAGAATAACAGACAACTCCTTTTTACTGTCTTCTTTTGTCTTTCTACCCCAAGTACGGTCCATGTATCAAAATCAGCATCACCTGAGAGCCTGTTAAAAATGCAGGATCAGGTCCCAACCTGAACCCTCTGACTAGAATTTGGATTTGAGTAAGAAGCCTAGTCCATTCATATGCATATTAAGTATAAGAAGCCCGTTCCATTTGCAACCCTTTACCACATTAGGCAAAATCTCAGTTTTCTTTCCTTTTTTTTTTTTTTAAGTTTTTTTTAAAAGTTACAAATAATGCAAATTAATAAAATGTTACTGGTATGATTTAGTAGTAGGCAGTATGTTGACAAATGTTTTCGATAATGTTCCTTGTATTTTATATTAAAGTTATAAATATTGTAATCATGTTTTCTAAATATCTCTTCTATAAGGGAAATCAAGAAGTCTGGTTATACAAGACAAGCAAAAAGAAGACAAAACCCAAACTTTCCCTAGTCTCTTGGACCTGGGAATGGATTTGAATGAAATCTTAATTCCTCTAAGGTAAAGTGAAGTACTGTATACCAACTTCTTTCTTTAACCTATAAATCAAGTTTTAGAATGAGATACTTGTACTATAATCAAACTACAGAAATTCAGCTTTTAATCCCTCTAAAAGGACTTAAAACAGAATTCATTGTTTCTTCGGTGTGTGTCAAATTTGTACAATCAGGGAGCAGTGCGTACGATCTTCCACTGGTGAAACAGACATATGCATTAGCTGAATGATGGTTTACTTTAAAATTTTTACTCCTTTATAAATTCAGTGAAAGTTACAGAATACCTGTTTTTATAAGTTTAAACATGTAGTGAGTTGTTCATCAATTTTCTTACCTCCTAGCATTACAGAAGTTAAATTCCATAAAATTGGGTTTTCTGGGTTCACAACTAGCAAAGTCCAAAATAAATGTTCATCTTGTATGGAATATAAATTGATCAATTTCTTAGTGTATGAAAATTATATTCTATCATATCATTATATATTCCTTTCTAGAATTTTTTCTATATGTTAAACTCTCATTTCATACAAATAGGTTAAATAATGTCAACTGAAATTGTTTTACCTAGAAAAAAAGTTGCTTTTAAAAATAAAGATAATTTTTTAAACAAAATTCAGAGTTAATCTGGCATTAATTTTTGTCAGAACACAGTAAATGAATAACTTAGAATTCCTATTTGCTTTCTAAATATCCTTTTGCTTTAATGAAAACTTTCTCCAAAAATAAATATATCTTTCTTTAAAAAAACTCTACCAAAAGCGGGTAGGGAGATGCGGTGGCTAGGTGACACTGGGGATGATATGTGTTGTGGTGAGAGCTGTGAATTGTGTAAGACTGATGAACCACAGACCTATACCCCTGAAACAAATAATATAGGTTAATAAAAAAAATTTTTTTTAAATTCTACCAAAATAGAATTCTTCAAATACAATAAAACTTAATCTAGAAACACATGACATAATACTCTTCAAAACACTTCTAAAATAGGAAATCAGTATTTGTTCCCCTGTTCTTTGACCTTATAAATATAACAGTTAAAAAAAAATCCTACATTTCTTGAATGCTTAATGTAGGATGTGCTGAGCTGAAGAGAAATATTCAATGTGGAAAGAAACCAAAGCCAAAAGTAACACCATGGACACTGGATTAAAAAATGCTGCTCTTTCATATCCTTAAGAGAACATTTACCAAATAAACCTTGTCTTATTTTCTATATTAGCATTATGGAAAGAAAAATTAAGTTACATTAAATGATGGAACAGTTACACAATCAGGTATGTACATTTATAAATGTTCTTGCCTTCCAACCCTAAGAATGATGTTAACAGAATATATGTCAGCAAATTATAATTAAATTATCTGATATAGTTTACAGGGAATAGATTCATATTTATTAAAATTTTACTTACCTGTCTTGTCTTTGCTGATGTTTCAATAAAAGGAATTCCATAACTTCTTGCTAAGTCCTGAGCCTGTTTTGTGTCTACTGTTCTAGAAGGCAAATCACATTTATTTCCTACTAGGACCATAGGTACATCTTCAGAGTCTTTAACTCTTTTTATTTGTTCTCTGGGGAGAAAGAAAAAGTTATAGCAGAGATATTAGTAACAAAATATATCTTCCAAAAATTGTCCATAATTCCGTCTTCTAAAATATGGCTGAAAGAAGACATTTAATGTAATTCCTAGTTTCCAACCACACCAAATTTTCCTTGTTTCTCCTTCTGTTATGTCTCTTAAAAGATAAAATACCAAAAAATATGGTACAACTACAATATAATAGGTCCATATGCAGGTAGGTCACAATGATAAAACAGGAAATATTGAAAAAATTCTAGGCTAAAAATATGCTGTGCCTAATTTTTAAAATTGTAATCTTAGAAACATATACTATGTTATTAAATGTACATGTATAGAATTAAAGATGTTTTTACAAAAACATGGATTACAACACTGACATAATTTTCATATATGTTTCTAAAAAGAAAAAAGAGCACCAAGTGGGAAGATTCTGATTTCTATGTGGGTAACGCTGACATTATTACAGGTTTATTCTGTTAAAAGTCCTTCTACATGTTGATTTTTTTCAATAAGATGTGCATAAACTCTAAATTTGGGGTAAAATTATATTATTTCACAATTTTAGGTGAATTTCAAAAATACAGCATGGAATAAAAGGTAGGCAATAGAGGCAGAACTGGTCCAAATTCCCAGTTTCTCTACTTAATAGCTAAGAAAACTTCATAGCTTAACATACTGACACCTATTTACTATTCTACAAGAATAGTGTCACCCACTCAAATTTCTTTTTCTCTATTACTAGAATAGAAAGAAAATGGGCTTTAAGAAATGTATTAGAATGTTACACCTCCTAACAAGGCTAATTCACTGTTATAGAACATAGCTAATGAATGGGATATTTAATATGCACTTTTTTTTAAACTGTAAACCCTCAAAGACATAGAATATAAATTATATTTAATACTATTAATGATTTTAAAATAGCCAATTTTATTCAGATTTGCCTGATTCTTTACAAACTGTAACTGTTCTAATATTTCAATCTTTTTCACAACTTCAAGATTGTTTTTAACTACCTAAAGCCAATGTTCATCCAGTTCTAAGAAATTCTACACTATACCTGATTATTTTTAAGGCTATCTGAGTGGTACCTACCTCCATTACCTTTTCATATTTTTGTTGATGGTTTTCATTTTTATGATGGCTCTAGCTTAAAGCATTGTGACCCTAGTGTACAGTGGTTAAGAACACAGGTTTTGAAGTTAAACAAGCCTAGATTTCAATTCTAGCACCACTATCTATGCTACCTGGAACAAACTGCTCAACGGCTCTAATCCTCAAGAACTTTACTTGTAAAACAGGGATATATTACCTACCTCAGTATTATTTTAAAATTCAGATTAGATCATTTATGCATGGTAGTCAGCAAAGACATAATAAGTGAAAGATGTAATTACTCCTCAATGTTATTTTATTATATTCAATTTAAACCCACCTATAATGGTGAATATCTTCAAATGATTTAGTATTATTTATGGCAAATACACAAAGAAAGCCCTCCCCAGTCCTCATGTACTGGTCCCTCATTGCACTGTACTCCTCTTGACCTGCTGTGTCGAGAATATCCAAGAGACAGGTTTCTCCATCAATTACTACTTGTTTCCTGTAGGAATCCTGAGAAGGGAGAAACACAGTCGGGATTATTATGGTGCCCCTTTTACTTTTAAAAAGGTGTTATATGCAAACCGACAACAAAAAGACAACCCAATTCAAAACTGGGTAAAGGACCTGAACAGATTCCTCCAAAGAAGGTACACAAATGGCTATTACACACATGAAAAGATGCTCAACACATCATTAGGGAAATGCAAAACAAAACCACAAAGAGCTACCATTTCACACCCATTAGGATGGTTATTATTAAAAATTAAAAAAGAAGGAAGACAAGTGTTAGCAAGGATGTGGAGAGACTGGAAACTTTATACATTGCTGGTAGGAATGTAAAATGATACAGCCATTGTAAACAACCGTTTGGCAGTTCCTCGAAAAGTTAAATATAGAATTCCCATATGATCCAGCAATTCTGTTCCTACATATATAACCCAAAGAATTGAAAGCAGGAAGTCAGATACTTGTATATAAATGTTCACTGCAGCATTTTTTAGAATAGCCAAAATGCAGAATGTATATATATTATGTATATATAATACATATACACATATACACAGTGGAATATTATTCAGCCATAGAAAGGAATGAAATTCTATATGTGTTATAACATGGAAGAACATTCCAAACATTATGCCAGAAACACAAAAAAAGCCAAATATCTATAATTCTACTTATGCACGGTACCTCAAATAGGTAAAATCATGGAGACAAAAATGTAGAATAGAGGTTACTTGGGACTGGGAGAGAGGGGATTTGAGAGCTATTGTTTAATGGACACAGGGTTTCAGTTTGGGATGATGGAAAGGTTTTGGAAATAGAGCTACTACTTGTTCAACATTGTGAATTTACTTAATGCCACTGAATTATGCAGGCAAGAATGGCTGCAATGATATATAAGATACATAAGATAAATGTATATATCTTACAATTTTAAAAAAATGTAAAAAATTTACTTACAATTTAAAAAACAATGCAAAAAAAAAAAGATGCAAGTACTCATATTATTAACAAAAAGACCCAAATGCTCTATGAAAGAAAATAATTACTCCAAAAATGGGATAGCTCTAGCAACTCTATTATTCAGGATGATTTAGACAAGAAAAATCAATTTACAAATAGTTGTCACGCATCTATTTTACTTACAGTCAGAAGAATATATAAGAGAAAGGTCGATACTGAGGATTTTAATGCCCTTATTCATTTCTGAAATCCTGGGAACAATATCTAACAGCCAGAGAGATACTAGGATAACTCTAGAGGGCATGATTGTTTTATCTGCAAATTCTATGAGGCCTCTATAAAAGGGGGAGCAAGAAGGGAGAAAGAGATAGATATCTTAAAAAGACTGTGCAATTCTAAGACTGAATAAAAGGAAAGGGAGTGGGTAACATTATAGAATCTTAAAATGAAAATCTGATTTTCCTCTGACGTTTGATTAATACTTATGCCTAGAAGACTTCGTGTACTTTCTGCCAAAATAGGACTCAAAAAATAAGGAAAAGGGATGGTGTAATATGAAGTCATGGAATAAGAGGCAGGGCTGAAAATGGATATAACATGTAAAGCAAGGACACTTATTGTTCCACATGTGGGCTGTTGTATTAAAGAGCCCTTAGTTCATGAATTACCATATAGACCACTCTATCATTAAGAAAAAAGAATGGCCATTAAAAATCACGTTTTTGGGGGCCCCTGTGTGGCTCAGTCATTAGGCATCTGTCTTCGGCTCCAGTCAGTCCCAGGGTCCTGGGATCGAGCCCCGTACTGGGCTCCCTGCTCAGTGGGAAACCTGCTTTGCCCTCTCCCACTCTCCCTGCTCGTGTTCCCTCCCTCACTGTGTCTCTCTGTGTCAAATAAATAAATAAAAATCTTTTAAAAAATTAAAAATAAATAAAAAATCATGGTTTTGGTAAAATATCTGAAAAATCTTTATAACAGAACACAAAGATTTATATGTAGCATGATCCCAAATATACACAGGTATCTATACAAATGTATCAGTATATATACTTAAGAACTGGTGGTATATACATCAAAATGTTAAAAGGGAAAGTTTTTGGTACATAGTTAATTTAAGAAATAAAGAACTTATCTCTTGCTTATCTTTTTATTTTTTGGGTACTCGATGCTATATTAAACATACAGCTTTCTAAGAATTTTAATTAAAAAAAAAATTTTTTTTTTTTAATTTGACAGACAGAGATCACAAGTAGGCAGAGAGGCAGGCAGAGAGAGAGAGAGGAGGAAGCAGGCTCCCCGCAGAGCAGAGAGCCTGATGCGGGGCTTGATCCCAGGACCCTGGGATCATGACCCGAGCTGAAGGCAGAGGCTTCAACCCACTGAGCCACCCAGGTGCCCCAAGAATTTTAATTTTTAAAAGTGTGAAAAACTACCATATTAGACTATAATCTCATGCTTACCTTTAAAGTAAACTAAATTTTCCAAACTGTCTATAAAAGAAGGATATCTACTTATTTTCTAAAAAGAAGCTTTTTATTAAAGATTTGAATATTTGATTGGCATTTTATTTTATTTTTAAGATTTCATTTTTAATTGTTTATTAACATATATTATTAGGCCCAGGGGTACAGGTTTGTGAATAGCCAGGTTCACACACTTCACAGCACTCACCATAGCATATACCTTCCCCACTATCCATAACCCAACCTCCCTTTCCCTACCCCACTCCCCTCAGCAACCCTGTTTGTTTTGTGAGATTGAGTCTCTTGTGGTTTGTCTCCCTCCTGATCCCATCTTGTTTCATTTTTTCCTTCCCTACCCCCAAGAACCCCCGCTTTGCCTCTCGACTTCCTCATATCAGGGAGATCATATGATAATTGTCTTTCTCTGACTGACTTATTTTGCCTAGCATAATACCCTCTAGTTCCATCCACATCGTTGCAAATGGCAAGATAGTATTCCATTGTGTATATATATACCACATCTTCTTCATCCATTCATCTGTTGATGGACATCTAGGTTCTTGATTGGCATTTTATTATTTTAACCTATTTCCTTAACTACTTGAAAGAACTCCTGTATATTATAAATTGAAAACCAGGGGTGCCTGGGTAGGTCAGTTGTTAGGTATCTGCCTTTGGCTGAGGTCATGATCCCAGAGTCCTGGGCTCCAGCCCCGCGTTGGGCTCCCTGCTCCACGGGAGGCCTGCTTCTCCCTCTCCCACTCCCGCTGCTTGTGTTCCCTCTCTCGCTGTCTATCTCTGTCAAATAAATAAAAATCTTGAAAAAAAAAAAAAAAAGAAAAGAAAAGAAAACCAGTGTTTTTGAAGTATGATGAAAGAGTAGGAATTGAGAGCAAAGTACAGTGTCTTAGAGTCAATCCATTCATTACCCAGGTGTGGCTATAGACCAAAGATTTTCTTTACCTATTGCTGTTGCCTCACATTCTTCACTTACCAATGCTAACTTAAGTTAACCTTTAGTTGTTAGTTTTCTTAGTTTTTACATCTAAGATTTTCTCCCATCAATGAAATTAAAGACCATACTTTCTGGAGCCCAGGGTGTGGCTCAGGGATTACTTACCATCTACCCACATATAATACCTCCAAGATGTACCTCAATGAATTCCCACGTTGTGTTTCAAAAGTATATAATGTGGAATATTAGTATTTTCTGTGTGTATTTCATAACATCTTTCCATGAAGGAACTGAGAAACTGGGAAAACAGTCCCTACTGACCAGTACAATACATTCCCATTATCTTTTCCCTTCTAAACTCTAAAAAAAATTCCAGCAAAGTTCTGAGTCATACACTCAGTTACTGAAAAAAAGTAATCTAAACCTAAGAGCAATAAGTAGAATACCCTGATTAAAAATAACAGATTTAGGTTAAAAATTCAGTATTTCCAAAGTGAATTCTAACTAGAGTCATGCTTAGAAGTGCAATCACTGAGCCACATAAAAAGGCAGTGCAACTTGGTAAAAGCTTAAGAACAACGTATTAAATGGCACAGTATAATTTGAAAAGAACAGACAGGTGTGGTGACAAAACAGAAAGCAAGCACAACAAAAATGACATACAAAGATTTTGTTCTAACTTCTGGTTAGCCATAAGAAAAGAAGTAAATAGAAAAAAAAAAAAGAGAAAGAAAGAAAAGAAGTAAATGGAAGTCGGGGGCACCTGGGTGGCTCAGTGGGTTAAGCCTCTGCCTTCCACTCAGGTCATGATCTCAGGGTCCTGGGATAAAGCAGAGCATAGGGCTCTCTGTTCAGCAGGGAGCCTGCTTCCCCCTTTCTCTCTGCCTGCCTTTCCACCTACTTGTGATCTCTCTCTGTCTCTGTCAAATAAATAAATAAAAATCTTAAAAAAAAAAAAAAAAGAAGTAAATGGAAGTAGAAAAAATTTAGAACAATGTAGACTCCTTCCCAGGATTAGAGTCTAAATAAGGGTTCAGCAAACTACTGGCCACAGGCCAAATCCTGCCCACCTGTTTTTACATGGCCCATAAACTACAAATAGTTTTGGGGCTTTTAAATCAACATTTAAAAAAAAAAAAAAAAAAGCAAAGATTATGTGATGAAGACCTTTACAGAAAATATGATCCTCTGCAGAAAAGCTTGGCAACCCCTGCTCTAAGCTAATAACTTTTCACAAATCTGAAGTAAACTCAATATGTTATTCTTTTTAAACTTAAAAAAAAAAACCACCACTTTGAGAAAGTACAGATTATCAAAACCCAGCCAATTCAAATACACATAGATTCTATAATGAAACTAGGTAAGAATGAAGCAAGAAAAGGTCAAGACATTATTATTATTTTTCTTAAAGTAAGCTCTATGCCCAGTGTAGGGCTCCAACTGAGAACCCAGAGATCAAGAGTCCCATGTTCTACCAAACTGAGACAGCCAGGAGTCCCAACACCTTACATTTCTAATTAGTATTATCTCCAGCCTTTCAAACAGAATGAACTTTTAGATCGGGTACATAGGTTATTTAACATCCTTTGCAAAAAAGGCTAAAGCCACTTAAATTAATTCAGTAT